TTTTCCGAATGTGTTTCCACTTAAAACTTGTTCCCAACACACAACAAAGATGTTACGTCTTAACCAGGCCTGCATATGACATTAGAACAAACTGGAGCCGCCTATCTTTGTTTAGTTAGTGAAACGGGTGCATGCAAAGAATGAGTGAACAAAAACAAAAATCAAATAGCATCATTCGAAACGTCCATTTTTAACTCTCAAAGTACATTTCATTGTTGGATGATGTGTACAAAGGGTCAAAAGAGGTTCCTCGACTAATCTTCATAATCAAATACCTTGCAAATACATTTGGTTTTGAGTGTGGGATATTTGTGTGCTTTTCTTTAAAAAAACAGCCAACACACATGCATATACCTCAGGCATCTCCTTTATTGAAACAATTAGAAGCGGGCTCAGAACATGAAGACACATGAGACGTGTTTAGTGAAGGTCACAAGCAATTACCCAGCCTGGTAAAAGCTGGCATGTCTCACATGGCACCGCTGCACGCCCTCATTAGGCGTGTTCTGCAGCTCTGAGTGGGTCTTGTGGCTATAAAAGAACTGAGCTTGCTGCCTTCCATGTCTCCTTTAAGCAGAACCTCACCAGCAGGAGCACAAAGAAACTACACATCACCACCTCAGGATCAGATAGTACAGGACAAACCTTTGTTTTGTATGAGGGGGGTTACCAAGGTATCACTGTGTTTCTATACGGGTTGAGCTTGATCGCGTAAATCATGATTGGACTCTTTCCTTATTAGGAGAAAAGATGATGTGTCCAAATTTTAGACTTACGGTTTAATCTGTTGATTTTAACTTCATGAAAATTATATCCGAATCAGGCCAGTACCTTCACCGATAGAATTGTGAGTAGCAGTAAGTTTGCAAAGACAGTGATGACAATGCCTCAAGTTGATCCTGATGTGCACACAATTTGGGTCTGGCCTAATAATTTCCATACTGAGCACTGAAAACAGTTAGCTCACAAACACTAAATCAAAAACGTAGGCACAAGAAAGGCTCTTCACTAAAACTCCATGGTTCATCCAGTTCTAGAGAGAAAATCAGAACCATTTATGATATAAGTATACGCTGGTTCTGCTTTAGCTGAAACACAAGGACACAATCTTCTGATATATCGTTTCCAACTGATGAGAGATAAGAAGGTGGAGTCCAACATGTTGCACACCATCAGTTCCAACCAATAGTCAATGCATGCACTGCTACTGGTGATTTAGTAGAAACGCTCTAATGAAGTCAGTGGTGGGCCTTGAATTTATTAAGTTCGCACAAAACAGGCGTGCAAATATAAACATATGCAGCAAAACGCATGCAAGTGATCCCAGCCCTTTTATTTCAACAATGCAGATATAAAAGCAAAAGCAGCTTTATCGCTGGTCTACCCTAATGATCACACACACACACACACACACGCTGAGACAATGAAAAATAGGACTTTAAATGGCCTCTCGAGCCTTTTAAGACAAAGCACACTTCTTCAGGAAGTGAATCCTTTGATGACACTTAAAACCAACACCAATATTTACCGACGGTGGTGGGTGCACCTCGAGGCGTCAGGTGTCGACCGGATGAGTTCACATGTGTCTCATTCGAAAGCGATTTGGGGATATTTAACACTTTGAAGACCGCTGTTTATTCAGTTATCAGAGATGTTTTTTATTTACAAAGAACTGAGTTGTTGTTACAGAAAATAAAAGAATAACAGGTAACCATAATGAAATTAAAATATTTAAATCGAAAGATATTTTCTTTTTTCCCGGAGTCAGTAAATGGCTGAACAACTTCTGACTTATTCAAGATAAAAAGCAGGGATTTATTTGAGGTAGAAGTAAGGTCCTAAGACTGGCCAGTGTAAAAGATGATGCATAGACGCATGGCTCATTACTAATCCCAAAAACTTGCTTTAACGCGTGCATTTTTTTTCGCAGCAATTATTTAAGACCCATTTAAACACCATGCTTTTGACCTTAGGTGTGGGACCATAACAATAAATAATCACTGTAAAAGGGAATACTTGATAAATTATAATAATCTGATGTACCTTTCTCAATGTCAGGTTTTGATATGCACAACGGTAACAATAGTGGCTCTCAAAGAAACACAATTTTAGTTTGTGTTTCATTTAACTTCTCTCTAATCACAAAGCAAGGAAAAGACTATTTGACGCTATGAATCTTAGAAACAAAAAGCTCAACACTGCAGGCCTAAAGTGAGACAAGGGAAAAATTGAGTGTATTTAAATGGAAAGTGCTGGACTGAATTCGGTTACTGTTGTTTTATGATTTCACTGCGGGCTTTCATTGTGTGAAAACACTTTGAATCCTGACAAAAAGATGGGAACCCGTTGAAGTTTGTTTTTCTTTAGGTCGCATGAGAAAACACGGACGGTACGATTCTGCATTAAAGTGAAAACTATGAGTGCACGTACGGCTATTGTTTCCCCAAACACCTGGATTATTGTTTGGTGTTTATTCCTATGAGGCGCATACCCTGATTTTTACATGTAAACACACCTCTTTTTTAATTGCGGTTCATCAAACGGGATGTGATTGAAAACAATAATGTAAGGATCTAGAAAAAAAAAGAAAGAAAGTTAACAAGGACCTGCGAGGCGGGTTGTCCAACCTATATGGCATGAAGTTACACTGCAGCAAATCGGATCTGCTGACAGCTCTGCTCTTGAAATCTGTAGGAGCGTTTGTGTTTTCAAAGAAAACAGAGACACAACAGTTTCTCAATCTCAATCCAGGTATAGCCTAAATCCACATGACTGTTCTGCATGTCTGTCAACGTTAAAAAGATGACGGAAGATACCGAGATACCCGAAATAATAATTAAAAACGCACGAAATAGAAAGAGTTTATTGGTTTGCATGCATTGTGTTAGTCTTCTTATAAATTACGGTTCAAAATCAGACTCACATCTCGATTATATTAGCCTACATCAATCCATATGAGGCATACATTAGTGTGGAATAAAAATATGTAAAACTATCTCAAAGGTAGGGAGGCACAACGCTGAAACAATGCACTGAGTAGCTCAGGTTAAATAATAAAGTGGGTTGGCAAGGAAACAGATGAAACACAACTGTTAATCCAGATTAAGAAACGCTTTGTCTTTACGTATGAGTTTTGACAGTCAGAAAACGATTGCCCAATAAATGATTACTCTATTAAATATGATGAACAAGTGAAAAACATTTAGTATAACAGTGTAACTGATAACTGTGTGCAATTCCTACGTTGTCCAGATGAGGGGAGTCCAGCCAGCCAAGTAAAGACAGGTAGGCAGAGGCACGGGGAGTGAGTGAAAGAAAGGGACACAGACAGAATTAGACTGAAGTAAAAATGAAAAAATAAAACCATGATAATCTATACTCAGCTGCAACAGGTGATTTTTCTTTTCGTGGGTGCCTTTTTTCACCCCTGCAGCATACATGTTGTCCTCTATGCAAAAAAAAAAAGAGCATTCCTCTCAAAGGCATCCAGCTGAGCGTCCATGTTAAAATTAAATGTCCATCATGGTGTCTAACTGTTAGAGCTGAGCATCTCCATCACTGAAACTCTGCTCTTCTCATCCACTTTGATACTCTCCACGTGTCCTGCTCACAGGTTTGGATAGGTGCAGTCAGTGGACAGAAGAAAGAGAGGTGAGAGAGAGAGAGAGAGCTGCTGCTGGTGGAGGTGGAGGTGGAGGTGGAGGTTTGGGGATATAAGGACGCTGCACCTTGTTACCATTGGGTCGACTGTTAAGTTTTACAAGTAACGTTTTGCAAGCTTATAAACGGTGCCTTCTAAACTTGCACAGGAAACTCCGAGAACATGCTGTGATAATGTTCGTCTCCGGCATCCAGTCGATATGCTCATAGTCTGGGAGAGCTGCGATCTACAGGGGGATCGATTACATGAGCCCCTTCCCATGTCTGATGCTCGAACGATGGCTTATAAAAAAAAGACCCGAGCTGCTAGTGTGCGTTTTTCACCTGGTGAAAAAACCCCTTCCAACAATACTTCACTACATGGTCCATATATAAACTAAAATGCAAAGGAAACATTTGACATAGCTTTTGTATTTTGCATAGATTTTCTATTTCAAAATTCCAAATGTAAAAATACACAAACAAATATTTTGTGTAGCTATACTATAATATTCTCTGTTGGATAAACACCAAATGAATGGACGCTGTTTGGTGGGTAAAATGCGTTTTTGTTGGTTCATTTATGTCATAGTGAGTTTCTAAGGCAGTGATCACACATTATTGCGCATCCAGTTGAAAAGGAAATAAAAAAACTTCCCCAAACCTGTCATAAAATTACCGATTAGTGCAATATAAGATCCCCTTAAAAATAAAATAAAATCATCCAGTGAATACTAGTCCAAGCGCACACTGAAATATGTTTCGGCCATGTCTATGCAGGCTGTAAAAAAAGGGGAAAAAAGAATAGTTGGATTTTATTTAAGAGCTGAAAACATCGGTGACTATTCCAGGCAGGTCTACCCGTCACTGTCATTTCAGTAAATATATGTAGTCCTCACCAGAAGGCTGCGTAATGGATGAAACGTTTCCCTTTCTGCCACTTCCCCCATGCAAAATATTGAAGGAGGCTGCGCGACTCCAACCGGATGGGGTTTGCATTGGCTGACAGCGTTTCCAGCGCAGGACAACCAATGAAACCAAAGCAGAGTCTCGGCGTATAACAACGAAGATTGACGTGGAGGACGCGTCAAATTAATTCCAGCAAACTCCGGACTCCCCGGGATAACTCCAATTTGCCTTTATCGGATGAAGATCACTCGGGTGCCCTTCTACTTTACACTGACTTGCTTCCAAAAGAGAAGAAGGGGGCGCACTGTGTTCGGGGGAGAATTTAAGAGGTCCCTTCTCCTCTTCTGGGGTTCATTTCTCTTTTCCCCCCTTCCTTCTCAGCCTTCGCTCGGACGCTTTGAGCCGTTTGAAGGGGCACCTATATTTCTCAGCATCTCGGAACATATAGGCAAATGGGTAAGCCTGCGTTACCATCTGCATGCTTCACTGACAAGGAGCTTATGGACGCGTATCCTGACTGCACGCTTGCGTAAAGACAAAATTAAGCAGCGTTTTTTCCTCCAAGTCCAGATTGTTTGAAGCCGGAGAGCGTCTGCAGTCAACTTTACTACATCGTGGATATTTCTAGCTTATTCAGCAGTCATTCCTGTCTTTTAAAAACTTTAGATCTTAAATGGAACCACACCAGCAATTATCCCAAGTGTGTCTTTGAAGGGCTCTCGAGTGTCAGTTCCTAAAGCTCGCCATTTTTAATATTTTTGTTGTTGTATACGCAGGGATAGTGGAGTCGACACTCGGCCAAACTGTAGTGTGAAGTTGCAAAATAGCGGTTGCAAACCAGAAGTTTTAATTTTGTGTAGGCTGACACATGTTGTACAACTGTGTAACCTCAGTTTATGGTGTAAATTACAGGAGCTGACTTGTGTCAAACTGATGCAGCTCAAACCTCTCAAGTTTTTTTGTAATTATAGCTGTGTCATGACATTTTAAATTAGTGTAAAATAACTGCAGTAAAGCGAGCAGAAGGATGAGACGACTGTGGTTGAATAAATGTGTCAAACTTGCATGCGCTCAGCTCATACAGTCTAAATATTTGACTTGTATTTCTCTTCTCCTGCAGAGCAAACCTATGGAGAGGTGAACCAGTTAGGCGGCGTGTTCGTCAATGGGAGACCTCTGCCCAATGCCATACGGTTGAGAATAGTGGAGCTGGCCCAGCTCGGGATCAGACCCTGTGATATAAGTCGGCAGCTCCGAGTCTCCCACGGCTGTGTCAGCAAGATTTTGGCGAGATACAACGAGACGGGCTCCATCTTGCCCGGGGCCATCGGTGGGAGCAAACCGCGGGTCACGACGCCCAACGTGGTGAAAAATATCAGGGAATACAAACAAAGCGACCCTGGGATCTTTGCCTGGGAGATCCGGGATAGGCTGTTAGCAGACGGGGTTTGTGACAAGTACAACGTGCCGTCAGTGAGCTCAATCAGCAGGATTTTACGCAACAAGATTGGAAATTTGTCCCAGCCTAACCAATACGAGAGCAGCAAACAGGCCTCCGCGCAGGCCGGGCTCTCTTACAACCACATATACCCGTATTCCTACCCCAACACCATGTCGCCCACTGGCACTAAAATGGGCAGCCCTCCAGGAGTACCGGTGACAGCTGGACATATGAGCATTTCCAGGGCCTGGCCGTCTGCACACACCGTCAGCAACATCCTCGGTATTCGCGCTTTCATGGATCCAGCAGGTGAGAAAGTCGCCACCACTCTGCTTTTCGGGGAGGCCTGACCGCCCCTGTGCCACTTACGCAGGGCTTTAGCTTTCGCTTTGCTCAAGTAACACCTAAACTAACCTGTGCAGTTACTTATCATTGTGTTATTGCATGATGAATCGCCGTAGGACTCCGCATAACCTGTCCTGGCAGTATAAGGAGGACAATGTGTCCATTAGAAAAGGCACAGGCCTCCATTTCAACATTCTCTCTGAAGCTCTTTCAGTGGGTGATGGATTTGCAAACACCTTGCTTATACCTGTTTTATCCCCCTTAATCCTTCAAGTAGTCATTACAGTCATTCTTTGTCTTTCTGCTCCTTTAGCCACTGTTTGGGTCAAATGTGAAGTCGCCTTGCTTAGTGCATTTAGGGTGTCATATCAGCTCAGATCATTTTGATACTTCTGTGAAATGACACCGTTTTTTGTTTTCGGTTAATTTTCAACTAATTGCTTATTAGAAAATTATATATTTTTACGGATATAAATGGAACAAAAATTCCGGACTTTTTGAGGCAGAGTTAGCCCTGATATTTTTATTTTATTTTATTTTCTAAAATAAGATGAGAATGTTTGGCTAAAATCGGTTGTTTCCTCCAACTCGTCATTTGTGTTGCGTATTTTTTTTTCGTTAACATGTTAATAAAACCAGGGCCTATCTCCACACACTGAACTAACATTTTTGAGAAAATTTTTGTAAAAAAAAAAAAAATTGAAAGAAGAAAAAAAATAATTGGAGTATAAATGTAAAAGAAGTTACTTGAAATAGGCTTTTTTTTTTTAAATTAGATGTGTCAGGTTTAATGCGTAACACCGAAAGCTTTGTAATCTATATCCACAATTAACGTAATTAATTCCAAAGCCAAATGGACCTGGTAGAGTGTTGTTTTTGTGTTGTTAATGATTTTATAGGTTTTTTTTTATTATTATTTTTAGCACTTGTGTTTTTCACTTTTTTTTGGAGATTTAACTGTTACACGTGTTTGACATGAAGTTACTGTGTCTTGATCAGCCATTGCGGGGACGGATGGATACGCACCGAAAATGGAGGTGGAGCAGTGGAGCAGCGTCAACAGAGCAGCTTTTCCCGCCGCGCATACAGTCAACGGGATAGACAAGTCAGCGATTGACGCTGACATAAAATACGCCCAGGTACCAATAAATAAACACACACAGATATCCATGAATACATTTGTAAAAATGTGTCAATGCACATGCTTGTAAGGTCTTTGGGCTAAAGTTGTGGATAGTTTTTCTGCCATTTCTTGAATACTGTCCAAATGTTCAGGCTACTTTGTAAATCTATTGGTGTTGACTGACTGCAGATGCCTGTGGCAGAGTCTTGATAAGTTTCCATAGGAGACCTCAGAGAGAGTCACATAAGGCCGCAGACATCTGCTTGATAGCATTTCAACCCTGACACTCTTGGGAGCTTTATTTCCGATGATTAAATGCGAGCGAGCGGTTCAGGAACGAGATGACAGATGAAAGCGAGTCAACTCAGTAAATCTCAAACAGTATTAAACTATTCGCTCTGCTTCTAAACCACCGGGACACTATCAACACGAGCAGTTTAGACTGATCTTGACTTGGGCGTAATCTTAATACTGCTGTGTGTCTGGAGTTGAGCTCACTTTACCCATGGCCTCTCTATTTGTCCGCAGCCATCCTCAACACTGTCCAGTTATGTGTCTGCGTGCGCGTACTCTCCAACCAACCAGTACGGGGTGTATAGCGGGCCTGCGGGCGGCTACGTGGCTCCGGGCCACCATCACTGGCAGCCGCAGAGTCCGGCCCTGTCACATCCGGGCGGAGGGATGAGCATGCACGCAGGGGAGATCCACTCACCGATGACCTTCAAGCACCAGGCCCGAGAAGGTACACAGCACAGGGAGACCAGAGTCTGATGTGAAACTTGGAGACAGATTCAACCTTTCTTCGGAGCGAGTTTTTCAAAATTGAGTTTAGTTATGAGACTTCACTTTAACACTGTATTATTATTATTATTATCATTATTTGCCCTGGTATATTTGCGTAATTACCGGTTTACGCACCGAAATTGTCCAAATCCTAAATAATCCAGCTATAGGCCACTTTCACTTTTTGAATATTAAATATCCAAACCTGGTCAGTGACAAACATGGCATTTAAAGTAAATGACAAATTTTCTCACCTCACATGGAAAGAAAGACAGATTTTTTTAGAGAACTAGTAATCTAGTCAACATAACACTTGAGCTAAATGTTATGTATTTAAGGGAGTAAACCAATCTGGCCCAATCTGAAGTTGCGTGCACAACTTAACTGTATTTTTCTTTGGTGTTGTGCAGGAGACAGAAAACCACCCAGTCCTCTGAGCAAACAGCAACATGAAGACTTGAATAGTGTGCACGGACTCAATCTCCCTACCTCCACATCATAACCAGGACTCATGCCACCTTAAATACAACATCCATTAAAACTGAACTCATTTCAACAACTCCAACAGTAAGTGTGAACAATCCCGGCTTGTTTTCCTGCGTGTGTGTAGCTGACAGGCACACAGAGGTCTGTTCCCGTGCGTCATGAATACAGTCGAGCTCTATCGGCCGGTGTGGCCTCATGAATGTAAGCTTGCATGGATGTATCGGTGTTTTCCCCCCTCATTGGATGATAGTTTCTTCTTTCCACTCGACTATTTCACGTTGTTTTTAGGCTGTGCATTCTTATGGAGACGGCAGATTAGACAGAAAAAAATACATGCAATGTTATCACTCCGTTTTGTTACTGATGTTTTTTGAAAAGTGCTCTTCTGTAATCCGCCAAATATTACATTTTTTGATATGAACCCGACTCTCAGTAACTCAATGATGTGAACAAAGAGATAAATTGTCTAAATGTAAGATATTTGCAAAAGCTTTAATGATATATTTTTATAATTTCCTTGTAAATATTCAAAAATAAAGGCTTTCTTAAACGCCATCTGTTGTCGTAGCATATATTATTTCAGTGCACATTCATGAAGGTGTGTTGTGCATTCATGGGGGTTTGCTGTCACTGAGTGTTGTGATTTCAGTTTGAGGAGAGGGGGCTTCATATTTTCTCTTACCGCTGGTGTTATCAGGTTATTTTACCTGCAGCCAAACAGACCTCGCTCGTAATTCTCGCTTTTCTTTACATGCAATTTACTTTCTGTACCTGTTTGTGTTGTCTTCATGATCTGACCCATCTGTTTTATCACAGTGGTTAAACTGGAGGTTGCAGGATATTGAACATTTGACCGAGCAGGTTTTAGTACAGCTATAGTGCGCGTTGACATTGGTCACTAAGTCCATATTTTCATGACAACAGCTCATGTATACGCTCGAATTAACGCATCGTATTGAATCAGAAGGTTTAGAGGACTTGAAATAGGCTTTCATGAAGTCTTGCACAACTTGAAGTGTAACCAACCTGCTGGGCGCCTGTGCAGATGCTATCTGTGCTGTAAGTGATAGACTATACCTGCTTTGATAGGAGTCAGAGATGTGATCATGATCGTTAATGAATAATGGTGTGCACAGGAGAGCAGCTGACAGTCCAAATCCACCCACATGCGGCCTCAGGGGTGGATTTTCACACAGACTAATAGAGGCCAGGGGGATCTACTCTAATCTGTTCAGATTATCCCCACGCACAGTTTTAACTCAGTATTTGCCACTATGTTTACTGAACTCGTGTGGCTCTTTTATTCGATGTTGTTCGCTTTTGTTTTTATGGGAAGGTGTGGTTACCTGTTCACGCCACGAATCAAAGTGAAATACGCCAGAGTTTTATCAGCCTTGTTCGATGAAAACAGGAACTGATATGAGGCATGAAAGTATTTCCACGACATCATTTTTTGTTGTGGAAAAAAAATACATTAGCCAAACTTTGTATAACTTCCCTGGCCTTCAGTTAAACATAAATGCTGCTGTTGATCATTTACATTTGTGATAAACCATTGGTGACGCTGTTTCCAAGAAGGAGTGAGTTCATGAGAGTTTGGATTTCGTTTCCTTTTCACTGTAGTTTTTAATTTATTATTCTTGAATAAAAACCAACAGCCCATAACATAAAAATAACACTTGTATGAGATTTGAACGATCCTTTTTTTAATTATATACTTTTAAAGGAAAAAATAGAAAGAATTACTTATTATTGTTTAACCAAATGTCATTTGTTTTATTACCGTAGACAAGTCTTTACACTCAAATTTACCACTGAAATCCATCATGGCTTTTTAAAAATACTGAAGAGCAATCTTCATCACCTCTGCTGTGACTGTATGCAGCCTCAAAGTGAGAGGGTGCAACACCTTTGGTTTGTCTTAGGGCCCATCGATCAAATAAGGTGACACACTTCTTTTATTTTAACACTCAACACCAGCTGACATCAAGTTTTCACCCCAAGATTGCTTAATGTTTTCCCAAACCATGATTGTTATCCAAAACCACCATAATCTATTTTTTTTATAAACTCTATGTTGAGTCTAAAAATGAGATTAAATAAATCAAAACACTTTACTAAACAGAATAAGGTTATTTGAACTCCACCTTTTAATTCTGGTTATGAAGTAAAGTGACTGCAGAAACTAAAGAAACTAAAAACTAGAATGGTTCACAAAAATTGTACAAATTTATAGATGAATTAATACCTAAATGGAGTATTGCATGACTATGGTGAATTTCTATTTAAATTACTCCTGCTGCTCGTCATGAAAAAATGATCAAGTTTCTTTGTCTTCAGCTAATGTGTCTGTTTTTAATCTATCATCAGTAATAGTATATTCATTAACAGTAACTTCATACATGAAATTCATATGCGACCAATTTAGCCAAACACACATGGTTTATTTTAGGACTATGCATACAGTCAGCCCCTCTGATTAATAATAGTTCAAAAAATTATAGTAATAAAATAGATAAATAAATAAAAACTTAATGTATCATATTCCATATATCTTCTTATTCCCATACAGGACATTCTGGCTGGTCCAAAGGATCACGTTAATGCCTTAAGCCTATTATAGTGCTTTACAGTGAGATATGAATATGACATTAAGTAATTACCATGATGTGTGTAAAAACTGTAAGAATGTGAACAGCACTAAACTATAGGCCACCAAATTAAACATGAAAGTTAAAATGAGTCAACTTAACTCATCAATAATTGAAAATAAGAATTCACCTTCTACAATTTAAAAATTCTATATACTTTCATGTTATCAAAATCTGAAGTTTTCTATTAAAGTGAGAGGCAGATCATATGCATTGTCCTAAAACAATCAACACATGTCCATTTAATTTGGACACATATATAATGATTATATGATGTAATTGTTCATTAACATACATGAACTGATAAATACAGACTCATCACCTGAAGTCAAAGTAACTTGATTGTTAGTTTGTGATGGGCGACAGGAATTAATGATGCATGTAAATTAAAATAGAAATCCATCATGAACCATACACAACTTAAGAATCAATTAGGCATTCATTTACTAAAGGGTCTGTACCCTTATTGTTGGTGTTACCAAGAAAATAATAAAAATTGAGGACAAGGTACTTACATGTCACAATTTAGGCTATTTTAAGAACAGATGACTATAAATGGTTTGAAATTTGCCTTAATTTTGCAATTCTCACACATTAAAAACAATGTAGTTCAAGGATGTGAGCAAACTTTTGAATGGACAGCTTTGACAAACTACAGGTCAAAAGAATTTCCACTGACTGACATGAAAAACTGTAAAAAAGTCCAGAAAAAAAATCCTAGAACAAGAAGAGGTTAGGCTTTATTCTCATAGAAATGTCTAAAATGTGAAGGTATGAACGTGTCACACTGATCAGGTTTAATTTCAAGGTTGAGGATCCAAGCTCCGTTTAAGAGTCCCTGATTCCTTTCCCATTTTCAGCGAAATCCCAAGTGCCTCAGTATATCCAAACATTAGGATGGCCTATGAGTACACACGCTCCTTGACTGGAGCCGCTCTGTTTTGCCGGATACCACTCGGGGTTCAGAAAACACTCCTTCATGGTGGCGGGGTTACTTCCTGCGGGACCTCTGGTCATCAATCAGGGCAGTGAGTGATACCCCCCACTGTGTCTTGTGCAGACCCTCTGTGCTGGAAGGACAGCAGGTGGGTTGCTTTTACATGGATGTGTCTTTTAGATAAAGACATATCCATATCTCTTTAATTTTACTGTTAATTAAACTTTGAGATAAAAGTGACATGAGACTGAACAGCTGAGGAAACCTGCTCATCTCAGAAGAAAAAGGACTAAGAGCTACATATGCAATATTTTAAAGTGGTTTTGAAACACCATCATTTCAATCTGTGTCTCTCTTTACTTTACTGAAAGACGACATCTGCCCAGTTTGCAGTAGTTTCTGCGCTGTAAAATATCAAACTGTCACTGAAACTTCTCATGCACACGTGTGCAGACACCAGGACTCAAACACTGCTCGGTGCGCTGAGGTGATTCTTGATTCATATCTCAGTGAGTTAAACCCTAAGTGCCTTCAAATGCCTAAATCTTAACCTTTGAAGAACAGAGGACCTGGTCAGCCTGATCATAACATATATTATATAAAGTACTATTAATAATCCAAACAGAAGCAAAAGAGTGACAGAGACTCCTAAATGAGCAAGAACAGGCGTTACTTTCTTCAGCTGAAACAATTCATCAATGTCCGCCATGTGTACAGGAAGGATTGAGTGTTCTTTAGAGACCAAAGCTCAGTTTATGTATTGGACACTTTGCCAACTATTATTTAAAGCTACCTCTAGGTTATCTGTGCTTCTTGTGTCGAGAAGGAAACTACCCCAGGCTGGTCGGGGTCTTTTTTCACTCAATCGTTCACTTTCTCTGTTTGCACGTCAAAGAGTCAACAAGAGAGCATCTCAGGACAGGCGATATGGCTGGACAGACAGGTCTTGGAAAAAAAGCCAAGAGAGATAAACGAGAAACCTTTTAAAACAAGAGTGGCAAGTTGGCAGTGAGTCAGAATTCTGAAGTAAAAAGGATGGTGTTAGCCCAGACCTGAAAATTCAAATGAATTGACTTGCCATGGAAACATGGTGCATGCAAATATGCACACTGCTGAAGCATGTCCCTATCACAGTCTTTGACAGGCAAGGAATGGTAATGACACCCCCGTCAAAGTCAATGGATTGCTTGTAATAAATGCCAGTCTAATGCTCATACTGTCTGATATTCACACGAAGGGAGCAGCAGAATGGAGCATTTGGAAAAGGACAGCAAATAAGATATTTGTGTTAACGAGAAGTTCTATGTTGTAACTTTAAAAAGTTTTAAGAGCTGCGTTCAAGTTTTTACCACCCCAAAGTAAAACACCAGAGCAGTAGGTCCATGACAATGTCATCCTTGTAATGCAATCACCATTGAATTTTTTCTT